CCATCCAAGGCCCTACAGGACTCTGCTTTCTCCCCATGCAGAACTGGGGCAGTTCCTGGAACAGGCACCCTCCCTCCCAGCTCCCTGCTCTGGCGCATGCTGTCCTTCCGTCTGCCCCCACGGGATGGCTAATCCCTCCTGTCCTTTAAGGACCATATAAACAAGCAAACAAACAAAAAGATAGCCCCCAGTAGGAATCCATCCTAAGAAAATAAACATGTGGGCAAAGATGTTTATTCAAAGTAACCTTTTGCCCTAGCCTGTTTGACTCATTGGTTAGAGCGTCGGCCTGAGGACTGAAGGGCCCTGGGTTCAATTCCAGCCAAGGGCATGTACCTCAGTTGCAGGTTTGATCCCTAGCTCTGTTGGGAAGTGTGTCAGGTGCAACCAATCAATGTGTCTCTTTCACATCGATGTTTCTCTCTCTCTCCCTTCCACTCTCTCTGAAAAACAATGGAAAAAAATATCCTTGGATGAGGGTTTAAAAAAAAAAGTAATCTTTTTATATCTGATTATTATCTGAATAAAAAATGGGAAATGTTTAATAAGTTATATTTCCCTATTTAGGGTATACAAGTACAGCCACACTTGGAGGTCTGTTGCTTTGCCTTGTTTTTTTGCCAGTCAAATCTTTATCCAGGCAACTGTAAATCAGGGGTTCTCAACTGAAGTGCTGCGGAGGACGGCTGTGACTCCCTACCAGGGCTCCCAAATTGCTGGAGGAAGCTACCTTTTGCTACAGCTGTGATTCACACATGAACACAATGTCTGGGCAGACAGACTGCTGAGCTAGACTGCACATGGTTTCTGTGCGGTTCAGGGCACGACGCGATGCACATTAAGGAACTGTATGCATTTGTCGGGACCTCTGAGAGTATGTAAAGCAATGGAAAAAAATATCCTTTGATGATCATTTTTTGAATGATCAGGGGGGTAATAGTTCTACTCAAACAGTGCCACGGTGCTCATGTGATCAGTAGAATAGTGCAATTGCTATACATGCAACTTAATCCTTTTAAGCATGCTGCCAAAAATTCTACCACACAAAAGAATGCCACTCTGTGCATCAGAGTTATGCTGTAACAGATAACCCCCAAATGCTGGGGTTCTTCCCCACCCATGTAACTAGACCAATAAAGGTGTTTCTGGTCAGTAGGTGGTTTTCCTCTGCTCAGTGATTCAGGGACCCAGGCTCCTTCCAACTGTGGCTCTTCCACCCCTCGAGCCTCAGATGGAGAGAAAGAATGTGGAAAAGTCATCTCTTAATGACCTTGGCCTGCAAGTGACACACATCACTTCCAGTCTCATTTGCTGGTAACTAGTTACAGTCCCACCTAGGTGCAATATGCTAGGAACACAATCCCAGCAACACCTCCACACTATGACGAGAAGAGCACTCATTTCTGGTGGACAGCTCACCTCTTTGCTGCAACCACAAACCCGAAAGAATTGAAAACCACTGGGTAATGGGTTTTGTTGCTATGCCAAATGGAGAAGTGGAAAAATACTCGATACAACCCCTCCTGCTCCCACATTTTGTACACTGGGATGTACCACAGGCATGGTGGAGAACCCGAATGTTGCCTCCTCTTTGTTCTAGGGGCCACACTGTCCCTGGCCTCCATTCCCATTCCCCTGAAAGCCATTTGGTCAGCTTTTCTTTGTACATCTCTCCTTTAACCCCTGCCACCCCAGAGCTGGGGAGCTCTGGCTCTGATTGGTTGTCACCAGGGAAGCAGAGCTGTATAGCTGTACTTGTTTCTGGCAAAGACAAAAAAAAAAAAAGTTGTTTTGATATAAGAATGAAGTAAGTCATGCCAGGATGTCATCACTCTTGGTCTGTTGATAAGCAGTCAGCTGCCCAGCTGCTAACGGGCCTCACCAGGGGCTTATGATAAGAACACATGGAGAAGCAGCATTGGCAAGGGGACATTCACATTATAAATACTGAGAGTTTATGAGGACTATCTGAGATTTTCCCTGCAGCAGCCTGTGAAAGAGATCAGCCCCCCTCCTCCACACACACACACACACACACACACACACACACACAGGTGTCTTCATTCCCTAGCAATGTGCTCTAGCAACTAGGACTTTTACTTTGGCCCTGGCAGGTTGGTCACCGACTCTCCCAAGGGCTTCCTCTCATAAGAAAGTACACCTCATATCTAATTTGGACTTTATTTCTTCACCTCTCCTTGCCTAGAACAACACTGTGTTTAATTCGTCATTTGTTTGGAGTTTGGGGCTTATTAAGAGATATTATCCTATATGCTATTAGCTTGTGAAATTATTATAATTCCCACGGCAAACCTGTGCTAGGTAAATTGCTGGCCGAGACAGAACTTTTGCTGCCTCAAAAGAAAAAACAAACAAACAAGTCCACAGTCATAAAAAGCTGCATGAGGGCAGGAATAGTGGCCATCCTGCTGACCATTTCACCACTGTATCCTCAGCACTTAGCACAGTGTTTCCGAAACTGAGGGCCCTTCCATTTTGTAGCACCAAAGCCACTAGGGCCTGGGAATCTGGCTGGTGGCTGGGGAAGACAGTAGAGACCACAGTGTAGTTGAATGGTTATTTGTTGAATGGAAAAAAGAAAAAAAAAGAATGAGTGAATGAATGAACATTCACGCTCTTGATAAATATTTAATGACATGAAAATAGTAAAGATAAAGTATTACGGGACAAGATAGACTACATAATTTTAGAATCAGTGTGATCACAATTTGGGAATCACATCAAAGCAAAGCAATTAGATTTACCTACTTTTAACGATTTTCAGCACTTTAGCCTGTCACTAAATAACTACCACCCAACCCACCAACAGATTTAATAGCACTTGTCACAATGGCTATTATTTACTAATCCAGGCTGATGCCTGATAACTTTTCACGGAGAAGTGGTTGTACATCCTTGCGGTGGAGCAGGCTTCTGAGTCCTTTCTTCCTATTGGGTTGCACCTGGAACTTTTCCTTTGTTGCCCACTTTTTAGTGGGCAAGTTTTTATTTGGTGAAAGGTGGGAGACACAGCCTGGATCCAGATCCATTGCTTCAACTCACTTTTCTAAGTTCCCATTACAGATTCAAAAATGCCTTCTGTGTTTAATTTTTTTTTTAATCCCCTGAAATCCCCATATTATGTAAACATATATTATATATGCATAAAAAGACTAGAAGGAAATACATGAAAGTACTTATCTTTGGTTCATGCATTTACGAATAATTTTCTTTTCTTTCTTATACATTGCTATTATTTTCCAAATCTTCTACAATAAGAATGTAACATTTTTTACAATCAGATTTAAAAGTCATGATAAGTGGTATTGTAAAACTATCAAATTTGCCTCCCAAGGGGAATTGCTCTGTGACCACTCCAAGGGGGCTTGGAGGCCCTTCAACCTTGCCATAGTGTCCTATAGCTTCCTTACCATTCACTGAACTCCTGGATTTTAATTGTTTACTTATCTGTGTTTCAACAAGACTAGAAGCTCCTTGAGGGGAGCGACTGACTCAGCTCTGAATCCCGGGGCCCAGCACATACACTCAGCACTCCAAAGGCTTGTGAATCAAATGGAAAAAATCAAATAAGGAGCTTGCAGACTCCGGTGTTTTTATTCTAAACCCAGGCACATCCTCCCTGGAACTAAAGGGATCCAGGATCTTCTCCCCTATTGACTGGACCCCGGGGCCTGGGAAGAACTTGGAAGCCTACGGGAAGATTTTGAAGAATTGCTCCCCAGAAGGGTCAGCTGCGTTGCAGGAACCCAGCAGGAATGAGAGTTGTAGTCCAAGTGGGGTTTTCCTGGCCGGGGCCAAGATCAGTCCCAGAGTAGCACTAGAAGGATTCCCTGAGTCTGCTCATTCCTTTGGACTCACTCACTCCCCCAGGGCCTCCCTTGGGAACAAAGGAGAATCCAGGACTCCAGGCCCGGCCCTTTTCCTCCAACAGCTGCCGAGTAGTTTGCACTTAACCCTAAACCACAATTAAAATAAATGGAGGAGGGAGGGATATGCCTCCGCTAGGCAACACTTAGGTTTTTCTCTAAATTTCTTCCAGGAATTTCTTCCAGGGGGCGTTGAGCACCTAACAGGCCAATTGCGGGATAAAAGGGAGGCTTTGAAACGTAGGTTTTAACAGTATCAGCTACAACTGCAGCTGAACTATGGACCCAGTGAAGCCACACACGCTTAGAGGAGAAAATCCCTTTGGACAAAGGGTTTGTAACGCCCCGGGAGCCGACCGGCCCCACGGCGCGCTCCCTCCCCGCCCCGCGGGGCCCCGCGGGAGGCACCAAACGCCGCGTCTCC